CAATAGGTCCTGTTATGTATATTTTAATACCACATCGAAGTAAAAAACCTTCTTAGACGAAATTAGACAACTTGGCTCCCACAGGTGTCATCACAAGAACATGGATTCAATCCCTCAGGAAGTACCTTCTCATGGATCCCGTAGGGAATAAGGTCTGTATGGGAGGGATTTTGCTTAAACTCGGTATTATTGTTCTGTGCTCGCTAGGATTTGTATTCCGTCTTGTCCTAACTCTGTTCTTGCTGTTTGTCTTGCATCCTTAAGCCCAAAGCCTTGTCCTCATCTTGGGATTTGTGCGTACTTGCAATCAAATGCACACCAGTTTCATTTCTCAAACCCTTGGTGGGCCTGCGCCCGTTATCAGCAGGAAGTAGCCAGCATGGTCTCGGCCCCTCTTTCCTCAAGATTGAGGAATGATCAAAAGATAGGGGAGGGGACTTCCCTGGTGGCGCAGTGGTTAAGACTCCGTGCTCCCAATGCAGGGGGGCCCGGGTTGGATCCCTGGTCAGGGAACTAGATCCCACATGCATGCCACCACTAAGAGTTTGCATGCCACAACTAAGGAGCCCACGAGCCACAACTAAGGAGCCTGCCTGCCGCAACTAAGACCCAGCACAACCAAATAAATACATAAATTGTTTTTAAAAAGATAGGGGAGACTGAAACCATGCTCCACAGGGTTAATAGAGGCTGGCGACTAACAGAAATTCTTGAGCTTGTTTTACAGAACACGAGATAAATGAACTTGCTTAAAACCCTCTGCTTGTAAAATGCCTTCACTAAGTAAGCTGGCTTTAGTTATTTTTTTCTTTTCTTTTTTCCTCTCCTTAATTGGAAGCTTCATGTACCCTAGGTAATGTATCACAAGACTCCTTAACCACCCCTATAGATAACACCTCTGATATAGGGGATGCTATAATAATGGGGGCTTAAGTTGTTTTTTAGGTAACTGGAGTCAGCTCTTGTCCAGTTCAAGCCAGCTAAGACTGGTTGGGACCACCGACCCTAAAACTAGGCCTGCACAGGTGTCTGATGAATGACAATTTGACATCAGAGAGCCAAAGCCTCCACCCTCAGATTATGCTAAGCACCTCTATTTTTGAACACGCATCCCATGAAGAAGCATGTAACCCAGATACGCCTATGCAAAGCACTGATTACCTCATCTCTTCCCTACCTACAACCACCTTCCCCCAAACCTAAGACCTTTTTTATCTCCTAAATATCTCAAGCCCCTCACCTTTGGGTAGGCGGATTTGAGATTCATTCTCCCATCTCCCCATTTGGCTGCCTTGCGAATGAACTGTTGCTCTGCTGCAAACCTTGACGTATCAACGTTTGGCTTGCTGCATGTAGGGCAAACGACACTGGCTTAGTAACAAGACCAGTGGCCTCCCATCCTATTTTCTGTCTTTTTATTAGCCTGCTAATCTCAGGAAATAATCTGTTTACGAATAGGGCAGCAAGAGCAGATTGAGTGACCTCATTTACTGAATGGAATCCAGAATGCCATGAGAAGAGAGCTTCCAAACGGGCTTTAAAATCTGCCACGGATTCCTCTTTCTTTGTTTGCATATTTGAATAATAGACCAATCAATGTAGGCAGGGAACACCCTAGGCTCAGTTGCCACATTGGGAGATTTTTCTGGTCTATCAGAGGATCGTGTTAGAGACCGAGGATCTTAACATGTGTTTTGGGGTTTTTTTTGGCCGCACCTCTGTGGCCTGTGGGATCTTAGTTCCCTGACCAGGGATCTAACCCGCACTCCCTGGATAGGAAGCGTGGAGTCTTGACCACTGGACAGCCAGGGAAGTCCCGAGACTGAGGATCTTGAATATCATCCTCAGGATGATGCCATTCTGCTTCCCACGTCTGTTTTTGGGCTTCACCAGGTCCTACCAACACATACACAAGTTGGTAAAGATCTGGCAACCCAGGATTCTAAACGTTTCAACAAAACCTTTGGGGATTAGAAAATTCTTTAACGATGGCTCCTTGGTCTTTTTTTTTAAATAAAAAAAATATTTATTTATTTTTTTGACCGCATTGGGTCTTAGTTGCAGCACACAGGATCTTCGTTGCGGCATGCGGGATCTTTCGTTGTGGCGTGTGGGCTCTTTGTTGCAGCATGTGGGCTCCAGAGTTCGTGGAGGCTGTAGTTGCCACACATGGGCTCTCCAGCTGTGGCTCGCGGGCTTAGTTGCCCCACGGCAGATGGGATCTTAGTCCCCCATCAGGGATTGAACCCATGTCCCCTGTATTGGAAGGCGGATTCTTAAGCACTGGACCACCAGGGAAGTCCCTTGGTTTAGTCTTTGACCAAGGAGTGAAAGCTGTCTGAGGAGGATCACCTGCAACCTCGGACCTTTTTATTTTAAAAGGTAACTATTTAATAGTCTCCAGAGTAGAAAGGCTGTCCAGACAGGGAATGAGTAAACTGTGAACGCTCAGGCAAAGAAGGATAGAGGGGAGCAGAGTCCTGTCAGTCCTGTCATCTGTTGTCTTAGGTACTCTGTTGTCTTTCACTTTTCATCAGCCTTCGGTAACAAGTCCTTTAATGAAGCTCTTTTGGAATCTTGAAGCCTTTGGGAAGTTCACTTAAACCAATTGAAATAGGCATCCCATTCTCTTCATTGAATTCATGAACCCTTACTTTCAAGTGCCGTTCTTAAGTGAAGGGTCTTGTCTAACTGGAACCTTCCCTCGTTGTAACTCTAGGTTGTTTTCAGTCAGATTTGCCTATTTTTATAGATATCTATAGCTTCCGGGACCATAGTTTTCAGACATAAAATAAGCAGGTGTGCTGGAAGGTGGGGCGTTTAACTCGTTAGAACTTAAGGATCCCATTAGCTAAGCCTTTGGGTTTCTCAGAGCCGAATCGACACCTAAAAGGGATGTGCCCCTGGATTGGGGTTGTATTGCATCTTACAGTGTAGCTTATTGCATGGACATTTTCTTGAGATTGGTAGGTGACCTACTGTCCATCTAACCCATTCCTTGACCAACTTATCCTAACACGATGTCTTTGGGTTTGGTGGTGAGCACTCTAACAGGTCTTAAGTGCTCAATCCACACCCACCAATTTTTGCGGCTTTTTGACCTCTGAGGTCCCAGTCAGCAGCAACTCTCACTGATACAAAACAAGACAAACAAACACATGCCCTTTCATATATTGGCAATAGCCCAGAGATGTTACCGCATCCTGGCCAAGGAAAGGTCCTGGGCATACCATGGGCAACTCCCAACATGGAACTGGGGACTGGGGAAAGGATTGAACCAGCAGACCCCAAGGAATGGGAACTGCAGGCATCTTCCAGACAAATGGGAAACTCTAGCCGTCACCAGCAGTTCCCAACATGGAACTAGTGATTCCAGACAAATGGGAAACTAACTGGAAAGCCAAGTGGATCAGGAGCTTGACGCAAACAGAACAGAACTCAGAACCGAGAGAAGCTCACCCGAGGCCCTCGGAAATGCTGAGAAAGACAGTGAGCTCAAAGGATTCACGGGGTACTACACCTGTGTTTCTTGCTGTCCCCAAAGCCGTCGGAAGTCTCCTTTGGTCCCGCTGCTGCCACCAAACCTGTTAAATAACGAGAATTCAACTGAGTAAATTTAAAGATCAAATTGGCTTTATTCAATGATTCATGAATCGGGCTGTGTCCCATCTAGCAACAGAAAGGAGCTCCACTGAGCTGTAGAAAAGAAAAGGTTGTTAAAGGCAGAAAGAGGGTGGTAAAAAGGACCTTCTTAGCGAGAATTCATTGTTTGAATTCATCCTCCGAAGGGGATGGAAGGGCTTATCGGATGAATTACCTCACTAGTGCTGACCAGGCGATTCTAGGTTGAATGGTTAAAGGTTACATTCTGGTGGGGTTGAAACTACAATTAGGTCTGTTATTAAATCTCGTTTTGCTGACCTAGGGGTTAGCACAACTGACTCCATTTGGGACCTGTTGTCAGGGTTGATGAAATATTTCTAGAAATGGATAGTGGTGACAGTTGCACAATATTGTGACTATACCTAATGTCGCTGAATTATATATACGCTTTAAAAGGGTTAAAATTGTAAAATTTATGTTACGTATATTTTACCACGATCATTTATTATTAAATAATAATAATTTAATCATATAATAATAACTCTAATTTTAATTATTATTATTAAATAATATCCATAATACATAATAATTATAGTTTATTATTATTAAATGATAAATACTAAGAACAAGTGAAAAAAAATATAGAATTTGCAAAAGAGGAACGAGGAGGAAGGTCACGTAAAGCCGCCGTAAGGGCTTTGGCTTCTACGCTGCCCAAGCAGATAACCTGTAGGTCAGGTTCTTCAGACAAACTGTGCACTGACAAAACCCTCTAGCGACTGATCGCTATTATCAGTTCTGGCCCCCAGCAGCATCTAGGTTGAGTTCAGTGACCCAAACGGTGGTCATCTGTGGGCACCCTGTGCCCAGCTCTGTGGGCTGAGGGGAGACTGGACGTACACCTGCTCTGCAGGGATTCAGGACAGACATTAAGCCCAATTGTGGCCCAATTAGATAGGAGCGGTGCTAGGACCGATGGGCGAGGCTACTGGTTAAAATAAAACCCCCAATGGGCGTGGCTAGAGTGAGGGGCGGGGCGGAATTCTTGACTAGCAGTGTGGGCGGGGCTAAGGCGGAGTAGTCAAGACAGGCTTGAAATAGCTGCTCCCAAAGAAAGCCTCGTTGGCCCTAGGTTGGATGACTTGTTAGCTGGGGCTGTGATGGAGTCGGATTGGGATGGGCTGAGAGTGCGGGGAGGGTTACCGCCACGTGCCTGCTGCTGTGGGCGACTTGGGGGGCGAGCTACACAGTCTATGTTTACCTGCTGCCCAGGCACGCCGGGGCAAGCCCTGGCTCCGGGCGCACAGAGCCTGGGCAGGTGAGGAAGGAGGGCTCCGAGCCAGGCAGGTAGGGGTGGGGACAGCAAGAACGAGGACAGATGACAGGTGAGGGTCCCTAATCAGGGCAGAGGCCAGGGACTCCTGGAAGAAAGACAGGTGAAGGCTGGAGCAACTAGGGCAAGGAAGGCATGGAATGCATGAAGTTCTCGAACCAGGAGGGGTTGGGCTTCAGTGAAGGAGGGTCCCAGAAAAGGTGCAAAAAGGGACAAGAGGGACAGTGGAGGGGATGATAGGGGGCTGGATCTGGGGGTGCTTCCCTCCTGCCCTCTTTCTAGTGGTGACAGGAGCCACCAACGCCATCAGCAAGGCTTATGCACATGAGGTGAGCCAGGGCTTGGCGTGTGTGGTGGGAGAGCTTCTCCTGTCTGTTTGTCTGTTGTCAGCTAACCCTATTAGACTGAGAATTGTGTGCTTTATCTGGTTCCCTCAGATGTCCTCTCCTCCAGGAAGCCTTCCCTCTGCTCCCCAGGGTGGGGGTGGGTGTTTACACTGGGCTTCTACAGACCCTTGATGTTCTCCCATCATTGCCCTGATTTATTCATTCAAAACATATTTATATACCCCCTCCACGTGCCAGGCATCTTCTAGGTGCCAGGGGTACAGCAGTGAACAAAATAGATTAAAAAAAATCAAAAGACCTTGCCATCATGAAGCTTATGTTGAAGTGAGGGCAGACCAGCGTAAATAAGATAAACAAATGAAACGTATAGTGTATCAAATGGTTGTAAGAGTTAAGGAGAAAAATAAATGAGGAAAGGAGAACAGGGAGCCCTGGGGATGTGCACGTTCCAATTTTTATATAGGATAATTAGAAGTGTCACTGAGAAGGCAGCACTGAGCAAAGAACAGAAGGAGGTGAGGGAGGGAGTCTTGTGAATAACTGGGAGAAGGAATTTCCAGGGAGAAGAAACTGCCAGTGCAAAGGCCCTGAGGTAGGAAGCATTGCTTGTTGGAGAAGCAGGAAAGGGGCCACTGCGATTGTATCAGAATGAAAGGGAGAGGGGAACAGTAGGAGACGAGGGCAAAGATGCAATTTCAGGGCAGATCACGGGGAATCTGGTAGGTTATGGTGGAGACTTTAACATTTACTGAGTGACATGGGTTCTGAAGAGGGATGCGATACTATAGGAGGGTGAGGATGGAAGCAGGGAGATCAGCTAAAAAGCTCTTGCAAAGTCCAAGCAAGAGATCTTGATGACTTACACCAGGATGACAGCATAGAGGCATAAGAAGTACTTGGATTTTGGATTGATTTTGAAGGTAGTGCTGACGAGATTTATTAAAAAGATTGGATGTGGAGTACGACTCCAAACTTCTGACCCTGTAACCGGAAACCTTGCTAAACTCAGCTCTTCATCCTTGTAGTCTTTCTGTGGATTTCTTGGGATTTTCTATGTAGACAGTCATGTCATCTGCGTAAGAGGCAATTTTATTTCTGACTTTCCAATCTGTATACCTTTTATTTCTTTTCTTGGTTTTTCTTCTTTACTCTGTTTATAGAGTACATTACATCAATTGATTTTTCAAATGTTGAACCAACCCTGCATTCCTGCAATAAGCCCCGCTTGGTGATTATTGATTATCCTTTTCCTATATTGCTGGATTTGATTTACTAATATTTTGTTGAGAATTTTTGTGTCTAAGTTTATGAGAGATATTAGTTTATAGTTTTCTTTTCTTGTAATATCTTTGTTTGGTTTTTGGTATTAGGGTAATGCTGGCCTCCTAAAATAAATTACTATAAAATTTTTGACCAGAATACGTCAAAAAAGGCAGCTGCTGTTACTGAGATGGAGTTGAACTGAGGGGAGGACCAAGTTTGGGGGAAACAGGAAGGAGTCTCGTTTTGGACATTCCAAGTTTGAGATACCAATTAGGTATCCAAGTTGAGAAGTTCCAGAAGTTGGAAATGCCATTCTGGAGTTCAGAGGGGAGGTTGGGGTGGAGATATAAGTGGAAGCATCATCAACATAAGGATCCCATTTAAAGTCATGAGACTAGATGAGGCGCCTGTGGTAGTGGGTGTTGATGGAGAAGGGGAGCACAGTCTGAATCACCCCAGAGTGCTCCCTGGAGCACCCAAAGTTGAGAGGTACAGAAGATGAGAAGGCACAAGAACTGAGAATGGGGGGGAAACCAGGGTTGGAAGAGAGGTCTTGGAAGCCACGGAAAAGAATGTTTCCAGGAGGAGGGGGTGCTGAATGTGTCAGTTGCTATTGGGAGGTGCTGAGAATACAGCACTGGGTTTACCATCATGGAAGTTATCGGTGACCAGAGTGGTTTGGGTGGCGTGGCGGGGGTGGGAGACCGATTGGATTGGGTACCAGAGGGTATGGTAAGAGAGCCAGGATAAACAATCCTCTCTTAGAATGCTGAGTCAACTGCGGTGGTGTGATGAGAAATGGGCCAATGCCTGAACAGAGAAAATGAGAGAGATTCTGGTAGGATTTCCTGCTGATGGGAATCATCCAGAAGAGGGAGGGGTTTTGATGAAGGGGGAAGATGGGGGAAAGCTGGAGTGATGGCCTTGAGTGGACAAGGAGGGAGGGGAGGCTAGTGCATGAATAGAAAGGCAACCCTGGTGGAAAGGGAGAGAACTTGCGTCTGGATGCAAGTCAGCCGGTAGTGACGGCCACTCTGAGTCATTGCCATCTGGGGACCGGTCTGTCCCAGCACTGCCCTGTGAGCCCCAAGAGGGCAGGGCTGTGTCTGTGCTGGTCAGCCCCACCTAGCACAAGGCCAGGCACGAGCAGATTCTGGACAAATGTTTGTTGAATGAATAAATGCCCTTCACAGCATCAACCTCTCAGACGCTGGAGCTGTTGAGATGTTTGTGCCCAGCCCCCCTCCAAAGCTGGTGGATGCTCAGTCCCACGTAACATGTCACCCTCAGACAGGCAGGTTGAGAGGGTCAGATACGCAGCCAAACTCCACAGATATTGGCTGACTTTGTTCAAGCAGAAGGGAATTCAAGGCAAAAGGAACAGCATGTGCAAAGGCCCAGAGGCAGGAAAATTCAGGTGGCGATCTTGGGACTAGATGAACTATGTGCTGTGCCTGGATTCCCACAGAGGGCCACCGGCAGGAGAGACAGCTGAAGACTCAGGCCGGAGCCAGGCCACTTGAGGCCACGGTGAGGAGTGTAGTTTTATCTCAGAGACACTGGGGAGTCAAGGCAGGTTCTGAGTAGGGGAAGGCAGGAACAGGTTTGTATTTCAGAGAGAACCCTCTGGCTGCTGAGTGAGACTGGGTCTATCTTGGGCATGCTGTGTCCCCAGCACCGCCCAGCAAAGAGCAAGGGCTCAACAGACACATTTTGAATAAATGCATGAAGGAAGGAAGGTATAAAAATTATTGGATTCTTATGTCACTGAGAATAAAAGCCAGAGTCTTGACTGGGGCATTCGAGGCTCCATGATCTGGGCTCCTGTACAACCGGCCACTTCATTCGGTGCACACTGGACTGTATGGCATCCTCGAAGCTGCCAGCCGTTGTGCAAGGGCCTTTGCACTTGGTGTTCTGTCTGGAATAGACTTTCCCCAGAATGCATGCTCCAGGAGGGCAGACTTTCGTATTTCTCTTTTGTTCACTTCTGCATCCACAGTGCCGATAACACTGTAGCACCCTGTCAGCAAGCAGTAAATATTTGTGGCTTTCGTGAATAAATAAATGAATGCATCCCCTGCAGCTCGCCGGGAGAGGTCTGAACATCGTCCTCATCAGTCGAGACCTGAGCAAGTTGGAGCACGAGGCAAAGGCGATAGGTGAGGAGGGGAAGAGGGGAGCGGGTTAAGTTCTGGGTCAAGGGCTGGGGCTAGACGGGGGCGTGGCTGGGGGCGTGGCTGGGGCGTGATCCCGGACGAGGTCTGTAGGTGGCCGAGGCGCTTGCGGGGAGCTAGCTAGCTATGCATCTGGGGCCATCATATAGGGGCTGGGGCTGAACAGGGACGGGGGCAGAGGTCGGACCAGATTCCAGCTAAGGGCCTGGCTCCCACTGCCCTTCCCAGAGAGGCTTCATGGCAAAAGCACACGAGTCATCCAGGTGGATTTCACCGGAGGCTTGGAGATCTACAAGGCCATTGCGGCAGGACTGAAGGACCTGGAGATCGGAGTACTGAGTACGTCCCTGTGCCTGTTGGGAGGAGCGCTGCCCTCAACTGCCCCCGTGCTCACCCTAACCCGGAACTCTCTGTGGTCGCCCTCCCTTTTGTCCCTACCCCGTCTCCCTGGGACCGTTGGAGTGAAACAAACAATTTGTCCCCTCTCACTCAGTAAACAGTGTGGGCAAGCAATACGCACCTGGCTTGAGGAAACTGATCGACTGTGAGGACTTCGCCAAGTGAGTGAAACCGAGTACTAGTCCGCGGGTGCCTCTGCCTCACACGGCTCCCTCTGTTGGAAAACCCGGCGCAGCACACTAGCTTTGTTCATTGTTTTGAGAGCTACAAATCTACGATGTCTAGGACGTGAAGGAGGTCTCTCCTTCCGTGGGGCGCCCTTCTGCGGTGCCCAACGGGGACAACTGTTCAAGTTGAGTCTGCTAACTTTAAGGGGAAATGAGCCACGTGGGAAAGTCAGTGCCTCAGTTTCATATCTATAAAATGGGAATCCATATTTTTGCTGACCTCACAGGGCTGATATGACAATGGGATAAAATGATGCACCTAAGCCTAAGTTGTGTGCTCCATGAACGTGGGCCATTATTATTAGACATAGACAAAATAGATCAGGACGGCTTTTAGATTTTACATATTATTATTTCAAAAGTAATGCATAGGGCTTCCCTGGTGGCGCAGTGGTTAAGAGTCCGCCTGCCGATGCAGGGGACACGGGTTCGTGCCCCGGTCCGGGAAGATCCCACATGCCGTGGATCAGCTGGGCCCGTGAGCCATGACCGCTGAGCCTGCGCATCCGGAGCCTGTGCTCCGCAACGGGAGAGGCCACAACAGTGAGAGGCCCCCGTGCCGCAAAAAAAAAAAGTAATGCATAGGCTCATTTTAGAAAGTGTAAAGAGAGGCAGTCTGTGTATTCTGCCTCTGGTGTTAGAGGAAGTTGTGGTTTAAGAATAACCCTGCAAATGAGAACGATTAGGAGTGCTGCATAAAATATTTTTAAAATAACTGTTTGGGGGCTTCCCTGGTGGCGCAGTGGTTGAGAGTCCGCCTGCCGATGCAGGGGACACGGGTTCGTGCCCCGGTCCGGGAAGATCCCACATGCCGCGGAGCGGCTGGGCCCGTGAGCCATGGCCGCTGAGCCTGCGCGTCCGGAGCCTGTGCTCCGCAACGGGAGAGGCCACAACAGTGAGAGGCCCCCGTGCCGCAAAAAAAAAAAAAAAAAAAAAAGTAAAAATAACTGTTTGAAGACATCAAACTACTAAGGCAATGAGGAATTGTCGCACCAAGATTTGAGAGAAGAAAGAATCCAAGAGGGGGGAATCTGACATTTGAAGCAACATTTCCCTTCAAAGTGGATGAGCGTTTAAGAGGCAAAGCAGAGCTTTCAACATAGTGTGCGAGCTGCAACAAATAATGTAGTGCAAAGCTTTGGAAAATATCCCAGGCTTTAGGCTGGGATCCTGAAAACTATAATCCAGGAGTTAGGGTAAAGTAGGTTTCATAGGAACTGAAGCCAGGTTTTAAATGATCTCGATTCCCGTCGGGATTAAGTTGATCTTATATTTTAGCGCCCCCTAGTGTAGCTGCCGGGGAGAAGCAAAACCAAACCAAACCATTTTTAGAGAAAAACGATGTAGTCCAGGGACTCGAATTAGCAAAACGATTTTTTAAATATTAAATATCCATCACTCAACAAAATACAACCAGGAATATTAGAAGAAAAATCGTGATTGAAAGCAAGAGAAATAATAGATAATGTAATGAGGTCCGCATGTAACCAAGATAATGGAAATAGCATAGATTTTTTTTTTAAAGAATTGTAACATAAAACTTGCCATTTTAACCATTTTAAAGTGTGCAACTCAGTGGCATTAAATACATTCACAGTGTTGTAAAGCTGTCACCACTATCTGTTTCCAGAACTTTTTCATCATCCCAAACAGAAACTCTGGTCCTGTTAAGCAGTATCCCGACATTCTTCCCTATTCCCCACCGCTGGTAGCATCTATCTCTCCTTTCTGTCTCTGTGAGCTTGCTAATTCTAGATACCTCATACAAGTGAAATCATAGAATAGTTTTCCTTTTGTGTCTGGCTTATAGCGTAATGTTTTCAATTTCATCCATGTTGTTAGCAAGTATCAGAACGTCATTCTTTTTATTTTCTTTATTTTGAAGTTATGGCAAATATACATAACTTAAATTTGGTTATTTTTAACTATATTGAAGTGTACAGTTCAGGGGTATTATGTACATTCAGATTGTTGTGAAACACCACCACCAGCCACCTCCAGGATTTTTTCAACTCTTTACCTATTAAACAGTAACGCCCAACCCCCCATTCCTTCCTACCCACAGGTCCTGGAAACCACCATTCTACTTTCCGTCTCTATGAATTTGGCTATTCCAGGTGCCTCATGTAAGTGGAATCATACAATACGTGTCCTTTTGTGCCTGGTTTATTTCATTTAGCATAATATTTTCAGGGTTCATCCATGTTGTAGCATGTGTCCCAATTTTCTTCCTTTTTAAGGCTGAATAATATTCCATCATATGTGTATACCACATTTTGTTTACCTCTTCATCTGTTGATAGACACTTGGGTTGTTTCCACCTTTTGGCTGCTGTGAATAATACTGCTATGAACTGTTGGTGTACAAATATCTGTTTGGGTACCTGCTTTTAATTCTTTTGGGCATATACCCAGAAGTGGAAATGATGATGCAAGATTGGTCTGGCTAATCTCAGGGTCCCTTGAGATTCCATATCAATTTTGGGCTGGGTTTTTCTATTTCTGCAAAAATGCTGTTAGGATTTTGATAGTGATTGCACTGACTCTATAGATCACTTTGGGTAGTACTGACATCTTAGCAATATTAAGTCTTCCAACCCATGTATATGGGATGTCTTTCCAATTTGTATCTCTTCTCTAGTATCTTTCAGTAATGTTTTATAGTTTTCAGTGTATGTCTTTCTTCCTTGGTTAAGTTAATTCCTAAGTGTATTTATTCTTTTATTCTTTTTGATGCTATTGCAAATGGAATTGTTTTCATAACTTCACTTTTGGGTTGTTCATTGTTCATGTAGAGAAATGCAACTGAGTTTTTGTATCCCACTTCTTTGTGAGTTTGCTTATTAGTTTTCACTTCTTTTGTGGAATCTTTAAGATTTTCTACATGTAAGATAATATCATCTGCAAACAGAGATAATTTTACTTCTTCCTTTTCAGTTTGAATACCTTTGACTTCTTTTCTTGCTTAGTTGCTCTGGCTAGAACTTCCAGTACTGTGTTGAATAGAAATGGCAAAAGCAAGAAGTGCTTTCAGTATTTCACCATTGAGTGTGATGTTAGCTGTGGGCTTTTTATATTATTATATGTATTATTTTATGTGCATTATTCATATCTTTATTATGTTGAGATAGTTTCCTTCCATTCCTAGTTTATTGAATGTTTTAATCATGAAAGGTGTTGAATTTTGTCAAATACTTTTCTGCATCAATTGTGGTGATCATGTGATTTTTTTCTTTATTCTGTTAATGTGTTGTGTTACGTTAGTCAAGTTTTGTATATCAAACCATCCTTGCATTCTAGGAACAAATCCCACTTGGTCATGGTGTATAATCCTTTCAATATGCTGTTGAATTCAATTTGCTAGCATTTTGTTGAGGATTTTTGTGTCAATGTTCATGAGGGATACTGGTCTGTAGATTTCCCTTCTTGTAGTGTCTTTCACTTTGGTATCAGGGCCATGCTGGCTTCATAGAATAAGTTAAGAAGTGTTCTCTCCTCTTCAATGTTTTGGAAGAGTTTGAGAAGAATTGGCATTAGTTCTTCTTTAAATGTTTGGTAGAATTCATCAGCAAAGTCATCTGTCCAGGAATTTTCTTCCTTGGGAAATTTTTGATTATTAGTCCAATCTCCTTACTAGTTATGGGTCTATTCAGATTTTCTATTTCTTCCTGATTGAGTCATAGTAGGTTTTGTGTTGCTAGGAACTTATCTATTTCATCTAGATTATCCAATTTATAGGTGTACAGTTGTTCATAGTACTCTCTCATAATCCTTTTTATTTCTGTGAAATCAGTAGTAATGTCCCACTTTCATTTCTGATTTTAGTAATTTCAGTATTTTTTTTCTTAGCCAATCTAGGTAAATGTAAATTTGGTATGTTGTGTTTTAATTTCTATTTTCATTTGTCTCAAAATATTTTTAAGTTTCCTTTGTGATTTCTTCTTTGACCCATTGGTGTTTGAGTTGTAGAAGCTCTTTATATATTATGGTTATTAATCCCTTATCAAATGAATGATTTGTAAATTTTCTGCCAATTTGCAAGTTGCCTTTTCACTCTGTTGATAGTATCTCTTTTTTGTGTGTGTGGTACGCGAGCCTCTCACTGCTGTGGCCTCTCCCGTTGTGGAGCACAGGCTCCGGACGCGCAGGCTCAGCGGCCATGGCTCACGGGCCCAGCTGCTCTGCGGCATGTGGGATCTTCCCGGACCGGGGCACGAACCCGTGTCCCCTGCATCGGCAGGCGGGCCCTCAACCACTGCGCCACCAGGGAAGCCCGATAGTATCTTTTAATGTGCAAAAGGTTTTAATTTTGATGAAGTACAGTTTATCTATTTTTCTTTTGCTGCTTGTGCTTTTAGTATCATCCGAGAAATCATTGCCGAATCCAATGTCATAAAGCTTTTCCTCTGTTTTCTTTCAAGAGTTTTGTCATTTTAGCTCTTACGTTTAGGACTTTGATCCATTTAGAGTTTTTTGTATATGGTGTTTTGCTTCACGTACTTTGGGGCTCTGTTGTTAGGTCTGTATATCTTTATAATTGTTATATCTTCTTGCTGCGTTGAACTTTTTTTTTTAGCCTTTTTTAATAAAATAAATTTGTTTATTTTATTTATTTATTTCTGGCTGCATTGGGTTTTCATTGCTGCGCGCAGGCTTTCTCTGGTTGCCGTGAGCAGGGGCTACTCTTCGTTGCAGTGTGTGGGCTTCTCACTGCGGTGGCTTCTCTTGTTGCAGAGCACGGGGTCTAGGCGCACAGGCTTCAGCAGTTGTGGCTCACGGGCTCTAGAGCGCAGGCTCAGTAGTTGTGGCACACGGGCTAGTTGCTCCACGGGATCTTACCAGACCAGGGCTCCAATCCATATCCCCTGCATTGGCAGGTGGATTCTTCACCACTGCACCACCAGGGAAGCCCTGCCCTGAACTTTTAAGAACTAAACCTCATTCTTATTAGGGTACTGCAGATTAAAACCAGAGTGAACTACAACTACACAGCCACTAAAATGGTTAACGCTAAAAATATTGTCAGTGCCAAGTGTTGTTGGGGATGTGGAACAACTGGAATTCTTCCTTTTTTTTTTTTTGGAATTTAAATATTTTTAAATTTAATTTTTATTTTATACTGGGGTGTAGTTGATTTACAATATTGTGTTAGTTTCAGGTGTACAGCAAAGTGGTTCAGCTATACATATACATATATTCATTCTTTTTCAGAGTATTTTCCCATTTAGGTTATTACAGAATATTTAGTAGAGTTCCCTGTGCTATACAGTAGGACCCTGTTGTTTATCTATTTTATATGTAGTAATGTGTATATGTTAATCCCAGCCTCCTAATTTATCCTTCCCCCCTTCCTTTCCCTTTTGGTAACCATAAGCTTGTTTTCAAAGTCTGCAAATCTGTTTCCGGTTCATAAATAAGTTCATTTGTATCATCTTTTTAGATTCCACATATAAGTGATATCATATGATATTTGTTTTTCTCTGTCTGACTTATTTCACTTAGTATGATAATCTCTAGGTCCATCCATGTTGCTGCAAATGGCATTATTTCATTCTTTTTTATGGTTGAGTGGTATTCCACTGTATACATGTACCACATCTTCTTTATCCATTCCTCTGTCAATGGACATTTAGGTTGTTTCCATGTCTTGGCTATCGTGAAGAGTGCTGCTATGAACATTGGGGTGCGTGTATCTTTTCGAATTGTGGTTTTCTCTGGATATATGCCCAGGAGTGGGTTGATTAGAGAAATAAAGCATGCTGCCTTCATACGATGCAAAATTATAGCAGTGAACATGAATGAACTTCTGCTACACATAACACGGAAGAATCTTATAGTGTTTAGCAGACAAAGCCAGAGATAAAAGGATACATACTCAATGATTCCACTTAAATGAAGTTCAGAACTGAACAAAACTCTTCTAGAGTGTGTTAGAGGTCAAGACAGTGATTAACTGGGGAAGAGGCAAGCGTAATGACTGCAGGAGATGAAGAATCTGGGAAACTGTCAATACTTTCTTTATGTGGGTAGAGGCTAAAGATTTGTGTTCATTTTTCACACTAAAGATTTATGCACTTTGGTATGTGTATGGTATACATTTATAAAAATCTTTACTGATCAAAAAATCCAAAGAGAGAAGTTTATGAAATGAAAGTGAAAATTTCCCTTCTCCCTCCAATCCTAGCCCCCCAAAGTGACCCCCGATTTAAAATGTGGTAGTTTTATTTCTCTGTGCATAGAGAAGTATGTACCTGGATCTTTTATCCAGATGGCGGCAGCCTATTGTTCTGCACTTTACCTTTCACAGGTAGGCATGTATCTTGGGGATTATTCTAATCAGAATAATTAGCTGACCCATTCTTTTTACCTGGTGCGCAGTGATCCATCCATTGGCTACCCTGTGTTTATTTAGTCATCTCAGTATCGATGGGCATTCAGGGTGTTTCCTAGTATATGTGACTACAAATTGTGTTGCGATGAATATCTTTGGACATATGCAGTTCCCACATGTGTGAGTATCTTAGAAAGGAATAAATTTCCAGAGCGGAGTTGATGTGTCAAAGTTTATGTGCATTTTAAATTCTAGTAGAAGCTACGTTTTAAAAATGTGTTCCAGGGGCTCCCCTGGTGGCGCAGTGGTTGAGAGTCTGCCTGGCGATGCAGGGGACGCGGGTTCGTGCCCCCGTCTGGGAGGATCCCACATGCCGCGGAGCGGCTGGGCCCGTGAGCCATGGCCGCTGAGCCTGCGCGTCCGGAGCGTGTGCTCCGCAACGGGAGAGGCCACGACAGTGAGAGGCCCGCGTACCACAAAAAAAAATGTGTTCCATATTAAAAGAAAAGTAAACTAGAAAATATCAGAGTTGTGGCAGGGCTGGTGAAGGGAAGAACTGATTGGTTCCATTTTCTTCCCCCAGAAATTCTTGGATGTTATAAACTGCAACATGATGTCTGTGGTCCAGATGAGTCGGGGCTGGGAGGGACTGGGTCCAAGGTCAGCGAGCTCTGACCACTCTCGGTGGTCCCCAGCGTCCCCCGGAACTGGGCCTGGCATAGAGGAAGTGCTAGAGGAATACTCCCTGAGGGAAGGTAGGGGGATAGGAGTGAACTTGAGGAGGGGCAGAAGTCTGGGTAGGTGAAAGCAGTGAAAAGGGAAAGACAGGGTCCTCTCCATTCCTCCTGCAGATGACTAGGATCGTCCTGCCCCAAATGGTCACCAGGTAAGGCGCAGTCTCTTTGTCTTTCACTCGGGATCTTCCCTCATCCAACCTCCGGGCTTTTTCCATTCCCCAGCTGTCCCACCCACATTTCCAGTTCTTCCCTGTCTCTCTGATCTTTCTCAAATTAGGACAGCGACTAAGGGGTGGAGGAGGGGAAATCACTGGGACCCTCTGTTCCCTGGCAATGACTACCTTCCAAATGATGCTTCCTCCTCCAGGGGCAAAGGTATCCTCATCAACATATCTTCAGTAACCGACAGCCACCAAGGTACCCAGACCCACAGATCAGGCCAGGGCTGGCTGCCATGCTGGCATTCCTGCAGTAGCCCTTAATTCCGGCACTGAAGGTTATGGTGGGAAAGGCTTGCCTGCATGTGTGTGATGTGCCACCTGAGTCTGAGGCTAATAATAGTTCAGACAGACATCTGGGGCACAGTCCAGTGGACAAGCCAGGTTTTTCGTTCGTTTTTTAAGAGAAACAGAGGCTAGGGGTCAAGAGAACCCATGAGGTGGGAGAAAGGGAATTCAGAGACTGGCCCGGCTGGAACGGAGAGTGAGTGTATGGGAACAGAGGGAGGGCTTAGAGCAAGGAAGCTTTCAGGCGTTACGGTGAGAACTTGGGCCGTGAGGGAGGGGCCCCTCCTGGCGGTAGAGTGTTCTAGGATCAGGGACGGCGCTGGGGCAAGGGCGGGCTGGAGGAGTTTGCACGGGGAAAGCTCTTGGCCCTGGGACGCTCCCTCCCTCTCCTTCTCCGCAGGCTTTTGTGCGAAGTTTCTCCGTGGCAGTGGGCGCAGAGTACCACTCCGAGGGGGTCACTGTGCAGGTGCCTGACTCCGCGGGGACTTAGCTCAAAAGGGACAGCAGTGGCAGCTGAGAAGGGGAGGGCTCTGAGGGGGGAGGAGCTTAGAGACAGCTGAAGGTCTTAGGAGCAGGGGCGGGGTGGGGATGGGGTCGGGGGGTGCGTCTGAGAGAGGACCGAGACTCAGACTCGGAAGAGCTTCAGTGGATGTAAATCAACTATACTTCAATAAAATAGAACGGAAGGAGGGAAGGGAGGAAGGAAGGAAGGAAGGAAGGAAGGACCTTAAAAAAAAAAGAATAAGATGAGCTACCTTGGAGCCACGATCGGAAGCGGTGGGTTCTCGAGGGGGCGTGGCCTCGAAGGCGTGGCCGGGGCGTGTCTGGGGCGTGGTCGGCAAGAGAAGTGGGACTCAGGGATTCTCGGAGGGGGCCTGGGAGCTTAGGCTTAGGGGGAGGGGAGTTCTTTTTCTTGACCCCCTTCCTGCCTGCAAACAGTAAGCCCCTTTTTGGTTGAAACAAATCCCTTGAAAAGCGGGCTGCTCGTGGTAAGTCCCGAGGACTTCGCTTGGCAGGCGTTGGACACACTTGGCCTCACCTCCCAAACCCCTGAGTGCCTCCGCCACGCTGTGCAGGTGCTTTCCTGGGGCAATCCTAGGCAGAGAGCTGGATGCGACAGTCCCTGGCCCGGGTCCACTAGCCCTCAGAAAGGGGGAGACGTCCAGAGAAGGGGCGGGCCCCCACCCCGGGCTGGGGAGCCAGGAGAGGAGATGGGGGACTCAAGAATGGGGGGACGTCTTGATCCTTGGTACCTCTCCTTCCCAGGGTTTCCTGCTGACCATCTTCCTGCCCAGTTGGTTTTTTCTCAGTCGCTGGGGATTAAAGCTTTTATCTCTGTTGGTGAGCTGGAATAGGGCACGGTTTCTTCGTCACAGAACTTGACTGAAGGCCTTGAAGAGGCGTGGCCACATGTCCGTCGTTCCCCACCCCCACCCCCGCCCCCTCCAGAATCCTAGGCCAGGGCTGTAGTTAGCAAAGACTTCCCACACATCGAGACAGATGGACAAGCAGACCAATGGAACGTAGTTGGACCCCCGAACACCCAGAAATTTACTAACAACTGCAGCATCTCAAATCTCTGGCAGAAAGATGGAGTTTTTAATATGTGGCGCTGAGACTACATAGACATTTGGAGAAAAACAAGCAAACAGATATATACATACATAGATACGTACATATATAGACTGTAGCGATGATGGCTGCACGACTTTGTGAAATACTAAAACCCACTAAATTGTACACATTAAAAGTTAATTTTATGGTATGTGAATTAAATCTTAATTTAAAAATCTCAATAAAAATATTTTAAAAATAGAGACTCCCTGTGTGTGTGTGTGTCTGTGTGTCTGTGTGTCTGTGTGTATACATATATGTATAAAATTGGATCCAGTCCTCACACCATGTACCGGCATAAACTGCAGATGAATCAGAAATCCCTAAATCCCTGTGTAAAAATAGAAACACAACAACTAGAAGAATCCACGAATGAATTTCTTTCCATCTTGGGAGTGGAAGAATCTTTCTTATTAATACTGAAAATTAAAAGCAGCAAAAAAAGCCAAAACCAAAACCAAACAAAAAAACACTAACAAACATTGAACTGTAGTTAATGATATGCAGGCTGAATTATTTAGGAAAAGTGCACTGATGTCAGCAACTTACTTTGAAATGCATTTAAAAGTTAGACAGAGTGAGTAGAAATATGGTTAGACAAGTATGGTAAAATGTTAGTAGAATCTAAGCGGTAAACACATGTACACCTCTTTCAACTTTCCTGTATATTTGAAGTTTTTCATAATAAAATGCTGGGAGAGGGACTTCCCTGGTGGTCCAGCGGTAAAGAATCCGCCTTCCGATACAGGGGACGCCGGTTCGATCCCTGGTCGGGGAACTAGGATCCCACATACCGTGGGGCAATTGAGCCCGCGTGCTGCAAACTACTAGCCCTGGAGCCTGCGCCCAGCAACTAGAGAGAAGCCCGCACGCCACAACGAAGAGCCCCTCGTGCTGCAACGGAAATATCCCGCATACCTCAGCGGAGATCCTACATGCCACAACTAGGACCCGACACAGGCAAAAAATTAAAATATAAAAATAATAAAATAAAAATGTCTTTTAAAAATGCTGGGGAAAATCCAGGAGCAATAAAATAAAATTTATAAATAAAACGTCTTAAGCAGATTTAGAAATTACTTAAGAAAAGATGATACGCTTCTTATTATCACATTTCCGGAGAAGGACGGCTCGAGCCCTGGAGAATAAACGGACTTTTTTGCGGAGAAACGCGGATGCAGACCATCGAAGAGACATCATTAAGCGGCCTTGATTTTGAGCTTTGGCGCGGGTGGTTGTGGGTAGCGCGCCCAAGAAGGAGGATGAACGAGGAGCGTCCCCGCGCGCCGAAGGGGCGATGCTGGTCGCCGCGACCCTGGCAGGAGCTGCAAGCCCTGTGCTAGGAGCTGAACGTGGACGAGGGGAGCGCAGCCTAAGCCCTGGAAGACTTCACAACTGTCCAGGGCAACTACAGCCTAGAGGGAGAAGTAAGTTATACACTGGTTGGCTTGTTCATTAAATCTTGCCTGCCTCAAAAGCATTATTCCCACGGTTGGAAAGGGTATCATGGAAAGAAATTGTGTTTCACTTACCAGAATACTACCTTCAGCTAAATTAAGTTTAATACAGTTTTTTAGTAAAATGAAGAAGTGGATGGACCTGTCTAGAATTTTGTGAACGTATGGAAAGGCTAGAAAGAAATTTTGAGGGGTCTGCTGTAATTTTCAAAAACGTTGAGCCAGTTTTTTTTTATATATTTATTTTATTTATTTATTTATTTATTTAGGCTGCGTTGGGTCTTCGTTGCTGCGCGGGGGCCTTCTCTAGTTGCAGCGAGCAGGAGCTACTCTTCCTTGTGGTGCTCAGGCTTCTCATTGCGGTGGCTTCTCTTGCTGCGGAGCACGGACTCTAGGTGCGCGGGCTTCAGTGGTTGTGGCACTCGGGCTCAGTAGTTGTGGCTCGCGGGCTCTAGAGAGCAGGCTCAGTAGTGTGGCACACAGGTTTAGTTGCTCCACGGCACGTGGGATCTTCCCGGACCAGGGCTTGAACCCGTGTCCCCTGCATTGGCAGGCAGATTCTTAACCACTGTGCCACCAGGGAAGCCCTCTTTAACCCTCTTTAATCTGCATCCATTCCTCATCTTTTCCTTGTGCTGTGTGACATTAACATTTTTGAAGCAGAAATATTTTGAAGTTGAAAAACACAATAAGTTTTATGGAAGAGAGATTGATTAGAGGAATAAGATCTTATGCAGTTGAGGCAGTGTCGAGAAGGTTCAGAAAGGGGAGTTGGGGGATCAGTGGAAAATACCAGTCAGCCTTCTGGAAGCAGTAGTGCAGGTGGACAAGTCAGAGCTTTCAGGAAAATCTGGGAAGTTGTATATCCAGCTGCTAGAGTGGTATCACGAAGGACAGCTGGTGAGGAAGTCTGTGGAAGGCATCTGGTTGTGGGCCTGGGGTCACTGTTGGTCAGCAGGGCAGAAAGTTGAGAGGAGATGAGCAGAGTTTGGGGGAAACAAGGTCCCTGTGCTTTTTCATCTCTCTTTCTCTGCACTGAACGGGAGAGTAAGAGCAAGCTGGAACCCACTGGCACATCTGTGTGGGTAGAACAATATGAGCAGGCTTCACTTCTTCCTTTATATTTTCATGCAATTTGCTCTTTCAGCCAACTCTAACCTAGTACCATACAGGGAAGAGGGAGTCTAAGAAAGATGGGTCCCCCTTAGCCCAGCTGACACAGTACAAAACCACCACAAAAGTGCGCCCTGTTTTCTCTATTTCAAAAGAGTTTTTCTGAGATTGGTACTCCTCCCTTAATTGTCTGGAAGATTTCACCAGTAAGACCATCTGGGCCGGGGCTTCCCTGGTGGTACAGTGGCTCAGAATCCGCCTGCCAGTGCAGGGGACATGGGTTTGAGCCCTGGTCCAGGAAGATCTCACATGCCATGGAACAACTAAGCCCGTGTGCCACAACTGCTGAGCCTGTGCTCTAGAGCCTGCGAGCCACAACTACTGAGCTCGTGTGCCACAACTACTGAAGCCTGCGCGCCTAGAGCCCGTGCTCTGCAACAAGAAAAGCCACTGCAATGAGAAGCCCGCGCACCGCAACAAAGAATAGCCCCCCCGCCACAGCTAGAGAAAGCCTGCGTGAAGCAGCGAAGACCCAATGCACCCAAAAATAAATAAATTAAATAAATTAATTTAAAAAAAACCCATCTGGGCCTGGATTTTTGTGGTTAAAGTTTTAAATTGTGGGTTAAATTTCTTTGATAGATATAGGACTATTCAGATTTTCTATTTCTTCTTGGGTCAGTTGTGGTAAGTTTTATTTTTCAAATAATTTTTCCACTTCATCAAAATGTTCAAATGTATTGATATGAACTGGTTCATAATATCCTCTTATTACCCTTTTCATGCTTGTAGGATCTATAGTGATGTCTCATTTTGAGTCCTGATATTGGTAATTTTTCTCTTTTGTTTTTCTTCATTGGTCTTGATAGGGATTTATTGATTATATTGAGCTTTCAAATAGACAGCCTTTGGCTTGTTGACTTTTATATTGTATATTTGTTTTCTATTTTGTTGATTTCTGCTCTTATCTATATTATTTTATTTTCTACTTTGTTTTAAATTTGTTTTTCTTTCTCTACCTTCTTAGATCTTTGATTTTTAAATTTTACTTTTCTGATATATACATTAAAGCTATACGTTTCCCTCTAAACATAATGCTTACAGTATCCATAAATTTTGCTATGTTACGTTTTTACTGTCATTCAGTTAAAAACGAGTCCTTATTCCCATTTTAATTTCTTCTTTGACTCATGGGTTATTCAGAAATATGTTGCTTAATTTCCAAACAGAGATATTCTAGTTATCTAACTACTGTAGTGCTCTAATTTAATTCAAAAGTGATTGGAGAGCCCAGAATATAGTCTATTTTGTGATGCCCTTCTTTATTACTGATAACTTTCCTTGCTTTGAAGTCTGCTGTGTCTGAAATTAATATAGTATATATTATAAAAATAATAGATCTGTTGGCAAAAAATTCCCTCAATTTTGGCTTGTTGCGGGAAGTCCTTATTTCTCTTCCTTTTTTTTTTTTTTTTTTGCGGTACGCGGGCCTCTCACTGTTGTGGCCTCTCCCGTTGCGGAGCACAGGCTCCAGACGCGCAGGCTCAGCGGCCATGGCTCACGGGCCCAGCTGCTCCGTGGCATGTGGGATCTTCCCGGACCGGGGCACGAACCTGTGTCCCCTGCATCGGCAGGCGGACTCTCAACCACTGCGCCACCAGGGAAGCCCCCTGCCTTGTAATTTTTTCTTGATAGCCAGACATGATGTGCTGGGTAAAAGGAACTAAGTAGACCTTAAGCAATGTGGTGGTGAGGTGTAGGTCGGGTTGGCAGGGGAAGAATTCTACAATCCTATGATTGGTCTCAGTCTTTTGGTGAGTTTATGCCTCTAGACTATGAACTTCACAAGTGTTTTTAATTTTTTTCTCCCTCTTAAGTGGGAGAGTATGACTAGTGTGGGCTGGAGTTGGGTATTCCCCTTCCCCAGGTGAGTTAGGCTCTGATAATACCCCAGCAGGTTAGGATCTGGTTAATTAGTTCTCCCTGGGGCAGGCCTTGTTAGGAAGGACAGAGAGCTCTGATGAATTTTAAAATGGTCCTTTTTCCCCTCTGCCTAAAGCACAAGGGGATTTGTCTCTAGTATTTACTGTGGGAACCAGCTTGAGCTCCTGGAGGTAAATCTCACAAAATTGTGGGGGGCCCTCCTGTGACTGGGTACCCCTGGAGGTTTTTTTTTTTTTATTAATTAATTAATTTATTTTTGCGGTACGCGGGCCTCTTTCACTGTGTGGCCTTTCCCGTTGCGGAGCACAGGCTCCGGACGCGCAGGCTCAGCGGCCATGGCTCACGGGCCCAGCCGCTCCGCAGCATGTGGGATCTTCCCGGACCGGAGCACGAACCCGCGTCCCCTGCATCAGCAGGCGGACTCTCCACCACTGTGCCACCAGGGAAGTCCCTATTTATTTTATTTATTTTTATTTTTGGCTGCGTTGGGTCTTCGTTGCTGTGCTTGGGCTTTCTCTAGTTGCGGCGAGTGAGGGCTACTCTTTGTTGTGGTGCGCGGGCTTCTTACTGCGGTGGCTTCTCGTTGCAGAACACGGGCTCTAGGCAATCAGGCTTCAGTAGTTGTGGCTCGCGGGCTCTAGAGCACAGGCTCAGTAGTTGTGGCACACGGGCTTAGTTGCTCCGCGGCATGTGGGATCTTCCTGGACCAGGGCTCGAACCCATGTCTCCTGCACTGGCAGGCAGATTCTTAACCACTGTGCCACCAGGGAATCCCCCCCCACCTTCCTGGTGTTTTTAACTCTCAGAGTTGTCCACACTGAGCCTCCAGATTCATCAATTACAGCTCTGGTTTTCCTACCCTGGCACTGGTTCCCGCAGCAGTTTCTGCCTATGAGTCTCTGCTCTGGTAAGTTTTTATTCTCTGTATTCACCTGTCGGGTCTCTCCAATCTTGGGGGCAGTGGTTTGCCCTGTGTCCTCACCTCTCTTAAGGATCCTAGAAGTGGTGATTTTTCAGTCTGTTCAGCTTTTTCCTTGTTAAGATGGAGTGGTGACTTCCAAGCTCCTTGCATGTGAAGCTGGAAAACAGAAGCTACCTAAAGGGCCATATATGCTTGAAAAGAATGTACATTCTGCAGTAGCTGGATGTAGTGTTCTATACGCGTCAGTTAGTTCAAGCTGATTAATTGCATTCTTCAAATCTATATTCTTTATGACAGAGTTTGTGCTTGTTCTATCAGTTACTGCAT